AGAGCGTCAGACTGAAGATCTGAAGGTCGCGTGTTCGATCCACGCTCACCGCAAGTTATCATTTTTTATTAATATTGAACAATTTATTTATTGATTAATTAATATCATGTATTTTTTTATTAATATCCCTTTTTATTAATACGGTACCGTTTTAATTTTTTATATTTATACCGTACGTTTTAATCATGCTTTTTTTATTAATATTGTATTATTTTAATTTTTTATTTATTAATATCATATTTTTATCAATATCTACAGTATTAATTTTTTGCTTATTAACAATGTACTTTTTTATCGTACTTTTTTTATTAATATCATATAATTTTAATTTTTTTTGTTTATTAATATTTCATACCATTAATATTTTTTTATTAATATTAAACTTTTTTATTAATATCTTTTCTTTAATAATATTGTACAGTTTTAATTTTTTTATTAATATTTTACTTTTGTAATCGTCCCTTTTTATTAATATTATTTTTTATTAATATTGTATTGTTTTAATTTTTTGTTTATTAATATCATACTTTTTTATTATATTTTTTTTATTAATATTGTACAATATTAATATTCTTTTTTTATTGATATCGTACATTTTTATCATAATTTTTTTTATTGATATTGTTTCTTTATTAATATCGTATGGTTTTAATATTTTTGTTTATTAATATTGTGCAAATTTATTAACCATGCATATCAATGCATCAAATATATATAAATCTAAAATTTAATATTTTATTTTTACTTATTAACAACATGACGTTAAAGCATAAAATATATATAAACTTGGGACTTAAAACTTTTATTAATGCATCAAATATATATAAACTCAAGATTTAAACCTTTATTTTTGCTTATTAACAACGTGATATTTTCTAGTGAACTAATGGTATATTAAAACTATACATTATTAATGTATCAAATATAAATCCGGGATTTTCAGCATTATCTTGAAATACACTGCAAAGGCTTATATCCTGGAATGAAATCACAGAACCAAAAGTTGTAAAAATGTATTTTCGGAAAAGATTGAAAACTGGTCAGAGCTTGCAGATTGATGAAACCAGCAAGTGGAGATGATAAAACAATACAAAGTTCTGCAATGGGAAGTAAAGGAACAATAACAGATAAACTAATATCAAACTTGCTAATTACACAACTAGTGTAAGATTCTTTGTCGCACAGATTACAAATATTGCTAATTACACGCCACAATGGTAGCACAATGGTAGCAGCAATACGTACCAGATGTTATTCATGGTATGTCACACAGCAAACACTAGTAGATAACTGCACACAAGCTCACCTTACCATCAAAGAATTTGAAGGTTGGTTTCAAGAAAATTTTAAACTCTTATATCAGACAATTCAAAGCGCATAAGGAGCTTTACAGAGTTGTACTTGTCACCCTTGCGGCTGTTGAGGGGAACTGCTCGGATCCCACTTCTTAGCTCTGAAACTGGTATGCATGTTTGGCCTCCGAAGTCATCCTTTTCGGACATGTCATATTCGTGTACTTCAATCCGAAGTAGAGCCAATTCTGGAACAGTTAGAGGGAACTCAAATTCCTCATTCCAAGAAGGCACCCAATTGTCTTCTAAAGTCTTTGTTTTCTTCATCACAGTATCTGCTGGGACTCCAGCAATCCCCACCTGGACACAGATTAACCAAATTCCGGGGTGAAGATCTTTTTGGGAGGTATTGCAAGATGCAAAAGGTTGCTTGCATTGAACTGGTATTACTTTATACTAACTTACCCTTGTGTAGAAGTCTGGAGGCGAATATGCATCAAAATGTGTGTGATGGAAGTCATGATACCATCCTTCACCCATATACACGGTTACCTTTCCGAAACAAGAAGAAGAAATTATAATGATTGAGCTAATAAGGGAAAAAGACATGGATGAATACAACAAGTACTTCAGGAATAAAGAAATTTTTTATATCCCATGGCGAGAAACAGTAAACACTCACCTTCAAAGTTTTCACCGGCGACCTATCTCTGGGATCAAAGACATCATCATGTGGACCGGACTTCAATAGGAAATCTGGTTTTTTCACATAACCACATCCCCCATTGGCTTTGAACATTCCATGCATCAACCACAATGATCTTCCGTAGCCCTGTACACACACCAACAACAAAATAAAATAATCTTAGCATTCAGCGAAGCAACTAGCAAAAGTTCACTCAAGAAAGCTTTCATCCATTTTCCTCTCCTATATCTATTAAACTATTATCTCTTGAATGATGATCAAATGTCTAGGTTAGGATAGTCTTCACAAATTTCATCTCTATATCCTAGAGCCATGCAAACCATTATGCCTTATCCATAACCAGTTGAAGATATATTACCATACCTGATACTTCTACCTTTTTTACTCATTATTTCATCTAAATATTAATAAAATAAATAGTAGAAGGAAACCCTCTCTAGTATAGAATGAATGTTAAGAAAATATAGCTAAAGGGAGGAAAAAATCAAACAAAAAAAAGGGGGAAGGTGGGGTTTGGGGGGGGGGGGGGGGGGGGTGGTGAGCGCTGTAAACCTGCATATTAAACGCAACCATTTGAGCTCCATGCAATCCACGCCAGATTAATGGGTTGTAATTTGAAGAGTCAACACGTATACCCTTCGGATATACCCTAAGAATATTCCGCTGGGTAAACCTGTAGCAGGACAAACATCAGAATGAGGAAAGCATGACCAATATATGATAATACAGAAAGTTCTAAATAACTACTAATATCAAACCAGCCAAGCCACTGATAGGCACTCAAATAAAACAGCCAGCTCACTATTAACATGTATTTTGCACTACTTTTAGATCATCTAGAAGTAGATTCATCAAAGCAGTGTAGAAGCAAAGGCTCAAGAAGGCGAGACAAATGTATACTCTTTGCATAAATATCACCAAATGAGGTGCATGCTCACAATAGAGAAAAACAAGCTACCAACAGTTTTACTTAACAGTAACAAGAGATGATCTCTAATAAACGGAATTTGCCAAAGTTTTCACTAAATACCTGACAATTTGTTTTCCATGAGTTAATGCCGCCTTTTCAAGTTCTTGCTCACTCATGCTAAGACGTCTCACTTTATCAGGATCCACCTTTAGACACACGTCTAATCCTCCCTTTGGCTTCCCAGCATGAATAGCAATTAAACATTTATATTCTGAGGCTAGTTTATGCTGTGACTTATCTCCATCTTCAGGATCGTCCTCATCTTCTTCATCCAAGTCATTCTGCCATAAGACAGTAACCAGGAAGTAAAATGTAAAAATAAACAGCTAGTAAAACATATTTGAAGTAAAAAATCACACTCAGCATCAGCAGACACCTTATCATCAGGTACATGGCTGCCTTTAAGGTCTGGAACTTCTTTTCCCCAAGCTTCTTCGTCACTCGCAGCCTTACCCTTCTCTGCATCATTCTCCTTGTCCCTGACTTCTTTGGCCTCAAGGTATTCCTTCGGTGGTTTTGTAGATATGATTATGCGTTTCTTCAATGACTCTGGAGAGGGGAATTCTTTTAAGCATTCTGAGCCAGGACTAAACAGGACGTCTCCGAATGTTTGAGTGACCATCTAAAAATTAGCCACAGAAGAATAAATTACGGGGAACATCAGATGTTTGAATTCCCATCAACAGCACCAAGACTCACCTCGGCAACTTTAGCCTGAAGATCTGGGGTAAGATGGTCTTCTAGAGTTATAACAACTGGGTATTCTGAGGCAACAAAAGCATGCTCCTTAATAGACTTCAAACACTTGATGAGTTCCACAGGAGTAGTCAGAGTCCTGTATGCAGAAATTATTTGTTATTCTCTTAAAAGCAAAATGACTGACCTAGGACAGACAGTTATCTTAAAACTTACGGAGATTAGTTAGAGGGAGGTCACATAGTAATGGAATCAGTTGTATCTCAAGCAGGTGATAGACATGCAAAGTTACAGATTTAATAAAGAGAAATGTTTTTTCTTCCTGTAGGTGTTTCCTCATACAATGGCAACTGCATGCGTATGTGCAAGGTGCCTGTAACGTAAACTAGCAAGTGTTGCCTTTAATTTATTGCCATGGAAAAAAAACTAAATGCAACCATGTCCTGTACAAGTCATATTTTCTTCTCCCTTCAGTTTTTCCTTATGGTAGCAAGTAGATGTATATGTTCAAGATATCAGCAGAAATAAATGAGCTGATTGTAGTGAAAGTATGACATTTTCCATAAATTATTAATCATCATTGCAGAAAATGGAAATTCCATCCACGTTAAAGGCTTTGAATGGGAACAATTTGCTCTTCGAGAACATACCCTCCATGAAGAACATCAACATTATCTTTTGCTGAATTTGGCCATATGTCCAATTCTATCACTCTCACACCTCTCTTGAGTGCATTTATGATAGGGACGTCGCTGCAGTCACTACTGAGTTGATTCCCAGTTAGATAGGAATTGTGACCAGTATATATGAAATAATGAGACAAAGGAGCACTCATATCATGGTGCACCTGAAACCAAAGAAATGAACATAACATAAACAACAACAGCACAAACCGTAGAAAATTGTATAATTTTGCTTTCCGCAATCAAACTGAAAAGTAAATTGCAGATAAGGGGTACCACAAAAGCTCAGACAAAAAGATTAATCCTAATCTTTTTCCTTCACCAATCTCAACATTAACAACATAGCATATAAGCGAACAACAAAAGCAAAACCAGTTCAAAGGTAAAGACACATTGGCATATTTTAGCTAGAAGTTAAATAGGTGAACATGTGCCATCACACAAATCAGTATCATCACAGGATCATCCTCAAAAGCTAAGAA